GCTGGGCTGGGTCTAGCCACACCTTGTCTATATAACTCCGGCCCAGCTCCTTCACTTCCTGCAGGTGGACCTGGGCTTGGGCCTGGTTCTTCTTGCCCATCCGCCTCCGGCAACGCTTCCCGCAGAGACAATAGCAGCAGCTGAAGACGAAGAGGCCTGAGACCAGTATGATTGTGGCCAGGGCCCAGGGGGGCACTGCAGAGAAGGAGGCAAAATGCACTGAGGATTGCATGCAGAATCGGAAATCCTGCCCCGTGTTTTCCCTCCAGCCATTTCCAATCCCGTATTTTCCTTCCAACCGATCTCAGCTACAAAGTAAATTGAAGTCCTAATCCAAGTTGACACCATTTGTATTTTCTTTCCTTTTAGTTCCATCTACCCCTTCACTCCCATTCTCATTTATGGTCAACCCCTATTATTTTAGAAGAGGCTCTACCCCTCCCAGCACTTCCGTTTCCCCAACTGTAAAGAAAAGGGTTTCTCCAATTCAAGATTCCATTCCATTCCATTCCACATGCTGTGATCCGATTCTGGTTTTTCTTGCAAACTTGTTCCTGTTCCCCCTTTCTGTCAGATTCCAGTCCAGGAATCCGATGTATAATCCCAACCGGATTTCCCTTCCCTCCAATCGGACTATACGCGTTCGAATCCCACCCCTGCGAATCCTGGCCAGGCTTTTTATCCCGCTCTTACCAGGGCCATGACCGATGCGGCTGGAATCAGGAGGGGCGTCAGGAGAAGGAGGCCCCGGGGTTGGGGGCTCCGGGAACATGGCGACTGCGTTTCACGGTCCTTTCTGGGGAGGCATTCAGGAGCCCTAGTCCCCCAACTCCCAGCCCAGACATCCATTGAATCTTCTGAACAAAGAACTACAACTCCCATAGGTCCCCGTAGACAGTCGGCTGCGTACAGACTGGCTATCGGCGCGGGGCATATTGGAAGTTGTAGTTCCAGCCTCTCCGCGGCGGAGAGCAGGCGCTAGGAGCTGGTGTTCCAAGATCTAGTTTCATACCAAGGGATGCCTCCTCCCTTCAAGGCACCCCCGAAATCCTGTTGGCTTCTGTCCCTCCCCAGCAGGGCTTGAGCCCGAAGTCGAAGGCGAGCGTGGGAACCAGCGCACCAGGTTGCCCAGAGCGATGGCTCCGCTTGGGCGGGACGGGAATCACCTCCAGTTGCCCTGGCAACGGCCTGTTGCCACGACAACGGGCGGGGTTTACGCACAGAAGTGAAGCCCGGGCGGGGCAGTGCCCTCTGGGCCCGGTGTGGCCTGGTACCCAGACACCAGGATCAGAGAGTGGGAAGGGATGGGCAATCCGTGGTTCATAAAGCTCTCTGACCTATTCCCACATCTGGCTCGTCCCTCCACATCTGGCCTTGGCAGCTGACACTCAGGATTCCTTCCTCGATCTCTCTTGAGAGAGAAGGGGTGGGGGCTGCCCTGGTGCCTCCGCTGGACCCCCACACCCGTCTGGGCCTGTTCGTCTCTTCCGTGAACCCCAATATTTGTCTTCACACCTGTTCTGGACCTATTTGATCTCCCCTTCTCACTCTCGACTCCAATAGATACCTCTTCCTGTATGTCTGTGTGTCTGTCTCCATCTGTCTCTTGCCGCACCCCCACCCCCTAGCCCCGCTGCGTCTCTCTAGTCCTCTGCCTGGGGTTGGGTCTGGCTCCCAGGGCTTTCCCGCTAGCCCACGTCTTATGTCTGGCTCCACACCTATTTTCTTTCTGAATCCCAATCTCCCCGTTTTAAGCTTCAACCTTCCAGTTCATCTCTTGGTCCCTCCCAGTGCATTTTCTTTTCTCCCCCACCCCGGGGGGTCCTCCAGGGATAGGAATGAGGGTGGGGCTCAGGGAGGGGGTCCCAGCGGCTCCTACCTGCTCGGCGATTGCACCGGTCCCTCCCAGGAGACTCAGAGGCGCCAGCCCCGCCCGGACCCCGCCCCCGCACGCGAGCGAAAGGCGCTGTCCTCGGTGCTGAGCGCAGCTGAGCGGAGCTGCCGTGTGGGTGCGGTGTGTGTCTGTATATGCGCTTATGTGTGCGCGCGCGTCTGTGAGCGTGTGTCTATGCGCGTGTGTGCGTGCGCGCCTGTGTGTGTGTGTGTGTGTGTGTGCTTGCGCGCACGTGTATTCGTGTTCTCTTCAGGTAGGTGGAGAGACCTGCCTCTTGTCCTTCCCTGAATCAGAAACCGCACGAGGAACGGGAGACCCCTATAGAGACCCAAGCATCCAGATACACAAGCACCACGATACCTGGCGGAAAAAATCCAGGAAACCCAGGTATCCAGATACCCAGATACACTAGATACGGGAGACATGGCATGAAACGTTGCACTATATTGGCCCCAGTCACACAAGTTTCTCTAATGCCTGCCCCACTGTGTCCACTCTTATCAGACTTTGGACACGGGAATCTGGACCCCTAGACTTCTTTGAGACACTCAGCCAATGCAAACCTACATTTCCAGGTACAAGAATTTGGTTGCGCAGCAGGAAGCACTGGACGAATCAACGGAAATGCCAAAGATTGTCGTTACGTGCCATGGAATTCATGACAGAATGAATCAATCCCCGGTCCTGTCCTGCCCAGTCCACCTCACTGAGGGTCATTTTAATTTTCACTGACCCTTGACTTTACTTGTAAAGATTGTTGTTGTTATGAAGTGCCGTTGAGTCGGTTCCGACCCATAGCGTCCCTTTGTAGGGTTTCCGAGGAGCAGCTGGTGAGCTTGAACTGCCAACTTGCAGTTCAAACGGCTTTGCAGTCTGACGCATTAACCCACAGCGCCACAGCAGGACTTGTAAAGATTCCAACCTAGAAAATCCTATGAAGGCAGTTGTTTACATGAGGTACTTTCTGTTTGAGTCAAAAATGGACTTGAGAACAAAATTTAAAGTTACAAAAAAGAAAAAAGAAAAAAAAAAGACCAGCTTATTGGTCCAAAAGAGACTAAAGAATCCTAAGATCTTGGTCCTCAACAATCCTTCAGGTCTGAAAAAAAGCTCACCCTCATGGATCAATTTTCAACCAAACAGTAAATAGGAACATAGGGAGGACAACACTGGTAAGGTGTGCTCATCGTGAAATGGTCAATCGTTCAAAATCAAAAAGGCAACATTTACCTAAGGACAAAGTTGAGAAGGAACAGGAAAGAGGGTGGAATGGAAGTGGGAAGCACGGGGAGAAAGTAGGCTAACTGTTGTTTCAGGGAGGGGATTGCAATCCTTGAAGTGAAATAACGTGTGACCGGTAATCTTGTCTGTAAACCTTCACTCGCTTGATTCACAATTTAAAAAAATTTTTAAAAGAAAGAAAAGTGACTTTACAGCACCTAACAATATCAACAATATATTCCTTCTTGGGTGGTGTCAAAGGTCAATACACTAAGCTGCTAATCAAAAAATTGGAGGTTCAAGTCCACCGAGAAACACACTGGAAGAAAACACACTGGGATCTACTTCCAAAAAGTCAGTCATCAAAAACTTAGAGAGTACAGTTCTCCTCTGACACCCATGGGTCGCCACGAATCATAGTCTGTTCGATGACAGCTGGTAGACTATTCCTTATGGCATTTCCTCTGTACCTAGACATCAGGAATCCCACTGCTACACACACACACACACACCACCCCATATTATATCCAAACCCAAAAAGCCATCAGGTCAACTGGTGTTGAGGATAACAGTGATTTAATAAATTATGAGATAGAAGAAAAACTTTATACAGGCAGTGGGGTGCAGAGGGAACTCAAGTGGAGGGAATCACTTCTATCCCTGATGGTAGACTGATTTAGTGTCTAAGGAAAGGCTGAGTAGGATCCTGTCTGGGCTCTAATTCTCAAGGATTCCTGGTAATGCAGTGTTTAAGAGCTCAGCTGTAATGGAAGGGTTAATGGCTCAAAACCGCTAACTGCTTCACAGAAGAACGAAGTAGCAATCTGCTTCTGTAAAGTTTGCAGGCCTGGAAACCCCGTAGGGTCTACTCTGTTACACAGGGTTGCTATGTGTTTGTCTTGGTTATCTAGTGCTGCTATAACAGAAATACCCCATGTGGGTGGCTGTAATGAACAGAAATTCATTTTTAGAAAGCTGGAAGTCCAAATTTAGGCTGCTGACTCTAGGGGAAAGCTTTGTCTCTCTGTCAACTTTGGGAAAAGAGCCTTGTCTTTTCAGTTTCTGCTTCCTGGCTCCTTTGGAGATCTCCACGTGTCTTGGCATCTTTCTTACCTCATCTCTGCTTGTTTAATTTCTTTTATATCTCAAAAGAGATTGACTCAAGATACCTCCTACGTTCATCCTGTCTCCTTAACAGAACAAAGACTGCCCTCGCCCAAATGGGATTTGTATCATAGGCAGAGAGGTTCGGATTTATAGTGCACAACACTCTGAGGAGAACATTATTTGAACAGAATTGATTCCACAGTAATGGGTTTGGGAATTCCCTCCTTCCCGTTCAAGTTCCAACTCATAGCAGCCCTCTGAACAACAGAATGGAATCCTGTCCAATTTTGGTCAGCCTTCAAGGTCATGGTTGTGTTTGAACACACTGTTGCACCCGATTGTGTTAGTCTATCTTCACTGAGGGTCTTTCTCTTTCTGATGACCCTCTACTTTACCAAGCATGATGTCCTTCTCCAGGTTTGGGATTTCCTTCCTACCTAGAAGCCAGGAATCCAGGTTCCAGACAACATCCTGGAGACCCAGACCCCCAGTCTCCTTCCTTAAGGAACTAGGAAATCCAAGTTTTCACCCTTCCCTTGCTTCAGGGAAGCAGGAATCCAAATTCCTAGCCCCTACCTCCCACAGGACTTGGGAGTTCAAGCCAACCAGACCCCTCTTCCTCAAGGAAATGGGAGTGTGTGTTGCCACCCCTTCCTCCTGCCGGACCCAGGAGTCTGGGATGCCAGCCCTCTGCTCTCCCAGGGACCCAGGAATCTGAACTCAAGAAATGATGGAGAGTTGAATCAGGCTGGACTGGTTTCTCAAGTACTCAGGCAGCCTAGGCCGCCCATTTCTGGTCCTGGATTTCAGCCACATTCTCATAGAGTATATTCTTAACATTCTCATACATGACCTCCTTCTCCACTGAGGCTGGGGGAGACTGTTGCAAGAACCGAAGGATGCACTGGTGTAGGAACACATACTGGGCCTAGGGAGAGGGTACAGGGAGTGAGGAATGACCAGCTTTCCTCCAGGCCTTCCACACCCTTCTCCCCTCTATGTCCAAACCCCAAAATACCATTACCTCAGTTTGAACCATCAAGGGTCGGCTTCCTCTCATTTTTCTCACAAAGCTGAAAGGCCCCACTAGACCATCACGCATCAGCTGCCGGAGCAGGACATCCAGGGCAATGAGGGTACCAGTGCGTCCCACGCCAGCGCTAGGCAGGGACAGAGAAGTGGTCAGACCAGAGAAGGGAATGTTACATCATACATTGAACTGTGTCCCCCCAAAATATATATATAGAAATCCCATAGGGTCACCATGAGTTAAGGACAGTTAACAACATCCCAATGGGATGTCCCTTGATGGAATAAATGGTTAACACACTTGGCTGATAACAAAAAGGCTGGTGGTTTCAATCCACCCAAAGTTAACCTCAGAAGAAAGGTCTGGAAATATACTCCCCAAAACTCAGCCGTTGAAACTCCTCTGACGCACAGTCTACTCTGACACACATGGGGTTACCATGAGTTAGAGTTGACCTGACAGTAACCAGTAAAATGCCCTGTACCGGTGAACATGACCTTGTTTGGAAATAGGGTGTTTGAAGATGTTATCAGTTAACATGACTTATTTCACTCAGCATGCTCTTTTCAAGGTTCATCCATGTTGTATCAGGACTACCTTAATGGATGAACATTACACTGTGTGTACATAGCACATTTAGTTTAGCATTCATCTGTTGGTGGCTCTTGTGGCTAGTGTTGCAATAGGGAACCTGAATTTGCCTGTGTCTGCCTGCATTCCTGCTTTCAATTCTTTGGTGTATATGCCTAGGAGTTGGATTGCTGGATATTATCATAATTCTATGTTTAACTTTCTAATCATTGCTTTCTTCTTAACCTGATGTAATGTCCCTTAACCTCTGGCCTCCTCTTCCTCCTTCTCTTTGACCTCATCCACAATTTGTGATGACCCAGGTAACACCAAAGGGGGAGGGGTCCATGACAGGTCCTCACCTGCAGTGTACAATGGGTGGCCCTCCTTCCATATTCTGGTCCAGCCACTTCCGAAGAACCTTCCAGAAGGCCAGCAAGGGGTCTGGGGAGTGGGGGACGCCATGATCAGGCCAAGCCAGGAAGTGGAATTGACGTACAGATAGAGTCTTCTGCTCTTCCATCTAGAAGAAGGGCAGGTTGGAGAAGCCGGGAGTTCATAGGCTCAGGAGACTTGGAGTGGGTCTGCATGCATGGTTTCTGTGACTTGTGGGGGAAATGCTTGGGGGAGTGAGCAGTCAGTGAGCCCTTATGGAGAATCCTGGGTTGAGGGAGAAGCTTGGGATGCCTTGGAGAACAGCATGGGCAGTCAGGAGAGAGCTTACATGGAAGAGCTTTAGGTCCCGAATAGTCCAGTCCTCTGTCACCTCCTCCTCCACCAACGTCACCTGCAGTTGCCCATGGGTACAGGTCTGAGAATCCAGAGGCCAATAATGTTCACACTTCACCTGGTGGGGGGCATAGGAAGTGGGAGTGTCAGACATCAAGAGGCCCTCATACACATCTTATGCTGTTACCACGTGCCCATTTTACAGATAAGATGATGCAAGCTGAGGGAGGCAAAGTGATGTAGCCTAGGTCACTGTGACTCTTGTGTAAAAAAAGGACCACTTGCCCATGATCCCCGGGGGCCACCAGACAGGCATTCATCACAGCCAAGAGGAGTCTTCTTTCCTGTTATGGATTGTGTCAACTTGGAGAGGCCGTAATTCTCAGTATTATGTAGTTATCCTGCATTGTGTGATCTGATGTCATTATCCTATATGTCATAAATCCTCACTTGTGTGATGCCGATGAGGCAGGAGGAGAGGCAGCTATGTTAATGAGGTAGGGCGCAATCTACAGGACTAGGCTGTATCTTCAGTTAATCTCTTTTGAGATATAGAAGAGATTAAACAAGTGAGCACAGATAGAAAAACTTGCAGTATCACCAAGAAAATAAGAGCACATTCTTTGGATCCAGGGACACTGTGCTGTGAACCTCCTAGACCCAGAAGAATACTGATGTTAAGACACATGGTGATCTCCAAGCAACACCAGGCCCACAGATCCTGAAAGGAAGACTTACCCCAGAGTCGACAAAGATAGAATGCCTTCTCCTAGAGCGGGCATCCTGAATTTGGACTTCTAGACACCTAAGCTTGTGGTATTTCTCTCATAGAAGCAGTAGGTAAACTAAGAAATAGATCCACTCTCACCCGACCAGACTCCACGCAGTTGGTCAGCATGACCAGGGTGTGGCTCTGTTGCTCCCACACCAGGCGCCAGAAGTCACCTATTGTCTGAGGCAGGGGGCCCTGCGCTGCGATGAATTCCTGGGAGTTCCAGAGACCCTGATGGAAGAAAGCAGGCATGTCAGGGAGACTTCGGATGGATGGATTCCTGGGGCACTTATTTTTGAAGACTTCCTCAACACCCATGATAGTTAATTACATGTGTCAACTTGGCTAAGCCCTGATTCTCAGGGGTTTGTCAGACACTGGATTGGTTGCAGTTCCAATCTGTGTAACGTAACATAATATAAGGTATTGTTATCACCTTCCCATGATGTGATCTAAGATCTAAGGTGATCAATCCATCAGTTCAAAGGGGAGGAAGTGTCCTTGGAGGTGCAGTCTGCCTCCATTATATAAAGGGATATTCTGGCAAATATTTCTCTCTTCCTCTCTTCCCTCTTCCCTTCTACCGTCCCCTCCTCCTCTCCCTCCACTTTCTCTCCCTCTCTCCCCTGAACTCTCCTCATCACTTGGCCTACAGATTTTAGGATACAAGTCTGAGGAGGTCTTCCGCCTGCTATCTGACCTTGTGTGTGTGTGTGTGTGTGTGTGTGTGTGTGTGAGCCATTTCCTTGAAGTAAATCTCTCTCGCCATCTATCTATCCATCCATCAATCTACCTATCTACCTATGTAATACATCTCTGTTTATCTATCCATCTATCTACCTATTGATCATATCTATCACTGATCTATCTTTCCATTTATCCATCCATCTATCTACCCACTATCCATTCATCCATCTGTTCATCTACCTGTCAATCATACCTACCTACCTATTGATCACCTATCTATGCATCTATCATATCTATGCATCCATCTACTTATCTGCTTACCTATTTATCTGTTAGTCTATTTGTTCATCCATCCACCTATCTACCTATGAAATATGAGATCTATCTATTACCTAGCTATCCATCTATCATATCTATTTATCTATCAATTCTTCTACTTATCATATCTATTTATCTATCTGTCCATGCATCCATCCATCTACCTGTCCAGCTACCCATCACACCTATCTACCCATCAATATACTTGTCTATCATGTCTATCATCTACTTATCCATCTATCATATCTACCTTTCTATCTATATATCTATCCATCCATTCATCCATCTACCTATCATATCTCTCTATGTATCGCCCTTATTTATCCCTCTATTATATCTATCATATCATTTGTATCCATCCATCCATCCATCTACCTACCTATCTTATCTATCTTAATACTCTTCTCCACCACTTTCCTGTCAGTTTGTCACTTTATGGTGGCTTGCATGTTGCTGTGATGCTGGAAATTATCCCACCAGTATTTTGAATACCAGAAGAGTACTCCCATGTTGGACAGGTTTCAGATGAATACAGACTAGGAATAAGGAGACATGGACTTCTTCTGAATGTATAGCCACTGAAAACCTTATGAATAGCAATGGAACACTGTCAGATAGCACCAGAATGATGAAGACCACCAGGACGTTGTCAGCTACAGTGCCAGAAAATAAGCCTCTCAATTTGGAAGGTACTCAAAATGCAACCGAAGAAGAGCTGCCGCTTCAAAGTAGAGTTGACAATGATGACACGAATGGGGTTATGTTTTGGGGAACTTCATTTATTGGTGGGGCACAATTCAAAATAGGAAAAGCAGCTGCAAACATCTATCGATAATTGGAACTTGGGATGTATGAAGTAAGAATCTAGGAAATTTGGAAGTTGTCAAAAATGAAATGGAACAAACCAATATCAATATCTGTGGCATTAGTGAGCTGAAATGGAGACTGGGATTGGCCATTTTTAATCTGATAATCATATGATTTGCTATGCCGGGAATGACAAATTTAAGAGGAATGGCATAACATTCATCATCAGAACATTGCAGTATCTGTCTTGAAGCATGATGCAATCTGTGATAGGATAATAGCCATATACCCTAGGAAGACCAGTTACTAGGATTGTTGTTCAAATTTACCCATCACCCAGTAAAGCCAGTGATGATGAAACTGGAGAACTCTACCAACTTCTTCTAAGGAGCTCTGGTAGCGTAGTGGTTACGAATCGGGCTGCGAACCTTAAGGTCAGCGGTTCGAAACTACCAGCCGCTCTGCGGGAGAAAGATGAGGCTTTCTACTCCCGTAAAGATTTACACCCTCGGAAACCCTGTACAGGGTCTCTATGGGTCGGACCCGACTCGATGGCACTCAACAACAACAACAACAACAACTTCTTCAGTCTCAAATGGATCAAACATGCACTCAACATGTATTGATAATTGGAGGGGATTGTAACCATGGCAATGAAATGATATATGATAGGATGAATGTAAAGCTAATGTTCTCCCATGTAAATTATCACATAATAAACAATAAAACATTTAAAAAAAAGATGTATTGATAATTACTGGTGATTGAAATGCAAAGGGTGGGAACAACCAGGAAGAATCATTAGTTGGAAAATATGGCCTTGGTGATAGAAATGATGCTGGAGATCGCTTGATAGAGTTTTGCAAGATCAATGACTTGTGCATTGAAAATACTTTTTAAAAACAACATAAAGATGACTATACACATGGACCAGATGGAATACACAGAAATCAAACTGACTACATCTGTGGGAAGAGACGGTGGAAAAGCTCCATATTATCCAAAACAAGGCCAGGGGCTGACTGTGGAGGAGACCATCAGTTGCTCCTATGCAAGTTCAAGCTGAAGCTGAGAAAAATTCAAACAAGTCCACAAGAGTCAAAAATTGACCTTGAACATATCCCACCTGAATTTAGAGATCATCTCAAGAGATCAAATTTGATGCATTAGACATTAATGACCAAAGAGGTATGTATTAACATCAAGAACATCAAAAAGAAGAAAGCTAATTGTTGTTAAGAAGACACGAAAGTAGACTAAGAACCAAAATGGATGTCAGAAGAGACCCTGAAACTTGTACTCCAACATAGAGACGCCAAAGCAAACGAAATAAATGAAGAAGTAAAAGATCTGAACAGAAAATTTCAAAGGGAAGCCCAAGAGAAGACAAAGTCAAGTATAATCAGAAAGGCAAAGACCTGAAGTTAGAAAACCAAAAACACATTCAGCATTTCTCAAGCAGAAAGAACTGAAGAAAAAATTAAAACCTTGACTTGTAATATTGAAGCGTTCTATAGGCAAAATACTGAACGATGTAGAAAGGATCAAAGAGGACTGTACCAAAATGAAATGGCCGATGTTCAACCATTTCAAGAGGTAGTATATGATCAAGAACCAATGATACAGAAGAAGTCCAAGGTGTGTTGAAGGCATTGGCAAAGAACAAGAAACCGGGAATTGGTGGACTACAAATTAAAAATATTCAACAAACTCACATAGCAAAGAAGGCTCTCACTCATCTATGCCAAGAAATTTGGAAGACAACTACCTGGCCAACTGATTGGAAGAGATCCATATTTGTGCCCCTTCCATTGAGAGGTGATATCATTAATATCACACGCAAGTAAAATTTTCCTAAAGATAATTTTTAAATGGCTGCCACAGTACAATGACAGGGACCTGCCTGAGGTTCAAGCCGTATTCAGATGAGAAGGTGGAGTGATGGATATCACTGTTGACGTCAGTTGGATCTTGACCAAAGAATGCCAGAAAGATGTTTGCCTTTGCTTTATTAACTATGCAAAGGTTTTCCACTGTGTGAATCTTGACAAGCTATGGATAACATTGCGAAGAATGAGTATTGTTGTTGTTAAGTGTCGTCAAGTCAGTTCCACCCCACAGTGGCCCTGTATAAGGTTTCCGAGGAGTGACTGGTGAGGTTGAACTGCTGACCTTGCAGTTCAAACCAACTTTACAGTCCCGTGCATTAACTCACAGCACCACACCAGGACATTTATTTGTGCTCATGAGGAAACTGTACATAGACCAAGAGGCAGCTGTTCGAACAGACCAAGGGAACACTGAATGGTTTAAAATTAGAGAAGGTGTGCGTCAGAGTTGTATTCTTTCACCATAGTTATTCAATTTGTATGCAGATCAAATAATCTTAGAAGTTGGATTATATGAAGCAGAGTATGGCATCAGGATTGGAGGGAGACTCATTAACAACCTATGTGATATGCAGATGCTTCCTGAAAGTGAAGAGGACTTAAAATATTTGCTGATGAAGATGAAAGACCATGCTCTTTGGTATGGGATGCACCTCATTTTGTAAAGAAAATAAAAATCCTTTTAACTGGACCAATATATAACATTAAGATAAAATGGAGAAGAGATTGAACTTGTCAGTGTTTCATTCTGTTGTGGATAAGGTTGCTATGAGTCTGAACCAACTTGATGGCACCTAACAATAATATCTATCTTTCCATCCATCCATCTACCTGCCTATCTATCTATCATATCTTTCTATCTATCACCTATCTATCCATCATATCTCTATCTATCTATC